TTTGACGTTGAGATGATATTGAATTAGTGGAGAAAAGAAGTGGGATTTGACGAGATTTAAGGAGGAAGTGGAGGCGTTGGCAAGATACGAGGAGGAGAAGATCTTTCACTATCTTCTTATCCACTTAACCAAGCCATTAAATCGACTCTACCAAACCGAGTCCGAATCCACAAACCGATTTGATCATCAAACCGTATGAACCCCAAAACCACATTTCTCATTCACACTTAATCACATAAWTGACATTATAAACATGTCCATACAATGACCCATGAATATGTCATTCACGATCCAACAATTATTTTGGCCGGGTTGGCTTTTAAGAGACTATGGCAGAATAAGCGTAAGGCTGAAGGTCTTCCTTATGTTAAGCCCAATATCGTAACCGGAGCTAATGTTCAGGCAAACCAAACAAATTTGATACTATGCCAAAAATATAAACCGAAAATTTGATACTATGCCAAAAATTGTCACTGAGCTTAGTTTAATGTTTTCTCTATTTGTGGTTGATACGGTTTTTTTTTTTGGAAAAAATTTCGTATGGTATATCTGGTTTTCTTACCAAAAAAACTAAGTTTGGTTTAGCTTTATGCTAAAACTTAAACCAAACCAAAAGATATTGAAATATTAGACCAAAAAGTTGAATTATTCAGCCAATAAATAGTTTTTAAAAAATGAACTATTTTACCCAAAAATTGGTACGCCGGTTAACGTCTGTTTCATTTTTCTTAATTTCCGGTTCAATATGTAGGTTTGCTGGGAGAAATTTGCAAGGTATTTCCAAGTGGAGCTCAAGGAAGTGAAGCTAAGAGAAGGGTATTACGTCATGGACCCTCAAAAAGCGGTTGACATGGTAGACGAAAACACAATATGCGTCGCGGCCATTCTCGGTTCGACACTAACCGGAGAGTTCGAAGACGTGAAGCTCCTTAACGACCTCTAGAAGAACAAGCAAACCGGGTAATTAAATAAACAACACTAGTAATTTATTGGTTGAACCCGGTTTAACGTTTGTAACAAAACCATTTTTGCAGTTGGGAAACGCCAATTCACGTGGACACAGCGAGTGGTGGGTTTATTGCACCATTCTTGTATCCGGAGCTAGAGTGGAATTTCCGGTTGCCTTTGGTTAAGAGCATAAATGTGAGTGGTCACAAATACGGTTTGGTTTACGCCGGTATAGGTTGGAATATCTGGAGAACCAAATCCGATTTGTCTGATGAACTTATCTTCCATATCAATTATCTTGGCGCCGTTCAACCCACCTTCACCCTCAACTTCTCCAAAGGTAACACATACATATTTTGTATTGAACCATATATTATATTGTAGGCATATGTATGGAATTGTTCTATAACTTAATGATTTCTATACATGAACCTGGTTCAAGTCAAGTGATTGCTCAGTACTATCAGCTAATTCGTCTTGGATTTGAGGTAATAACTCAAGTACTTTCTAAATCTAACCATCAACACTAAAGATAATAACCATGATTTTGATAAACTTTATACATAAAAAAATGTATCATTTTAATTGAATAGTCTATTATGATATTAACATCCATTCTATTGCGATAATCAAATATTTTAATCATAATATCAAGTTAATGCATGTCATTTTTGCAAATAAATTTAACTAAATTCTTTAATATAACATCATTCGAAGAATTTT